CCCCCGCACAGTGAAATGGGCGAGACAGAAGCAGAAGTTGGTTCTTAAAGAGACAGAGGCAAATTTCAGGGTGTTTAGAAGAGGAAGTGATGAGAAGAAAAGTTTATTTTCTATTTAAACATAAAAACAGCATTTTAATAACAACAAAAGGTGGCATATATACTTTGTTATAGTATAGTATTTAAATATATGCCTGAGAAACACATAATATTGCCCCTTTAAAAAGGTGTGGCTTGTGGCTCAAAGCCAGGAATTGAACTTTTCTGAAAATAAATATATTTGTAAATTTAAAAATTCTGAAAGTGAGATGTCAAAGAGGAGGAAAATATGCTGTCACATATGTTTTGACTCCCTGTGGTTAGGGTAAGTTGTACTTGTCAAACAGGGCCTCTGCAGTTCACAGACAAGTCTGGACAATGCTGCAAATAAAGATAGAATCACAAGGTGTCAGTTTCTTTAATAATATTCATTCTGTATCAGAAGAGCCAGCAGCTTCTCCCCAATCATTGTCTCCCATGGATTCTAATCTCCTCAGAAGTAGAAACACTTTTATTAGTGTGAAAGTGAAAGAGCACAGGGAAGAGTTTGGTAACTAATTTTTGAAGGGAGCTATTCAAATTATTCAGATGCTTGCTCTGCCCCCCTCTCCCTATTTCCCTCCCAGGCAGTGAAGGGTCTTTTCTGTCCCCAGAGAGTGATGTCAGCATGGCCCATTGAAAACAGCCGCGGTGTGCTCCGAGATGAATGCCCTGGCTGAGCACAATGGCCCCAATTTGAATACCACGCGGATATATGCCAGATCCTAGCCCAACAAAAGAAAGAGGGCTCCTCTGCTCCCATTCAACCACGCTGTTATTTTAGTAGTCGTAAATTTGCTACAACTATTTATACCTTTCCGTAGCTTTCCGGTGTCCAAGTTTGAAACACACGGATGACCCAGCGAGGCCGCCCTTGTTTTGGATTGGTTTTTATTTTGGTAGCTCATGACTGAAGAGGGATTTGGTGTTTGTGTGTGACCGCAGATCTACACAGACTGGGCCAACCACTATCTTGCCAAGTCAGGACACAAGCGTCTCATCAAGGACCTCCAAACAGACGTCACAGATGGAGTGCTGCTGGCAGAGATCATCCAGGTTGTTGGTAAGATAACTTTCATTTAATTAGAAAATTGTCTAAATGAAACCTGCTCTTTTCATGTGATTGTTGTGAAAAAGATGGAAGCTGCTCCTCAAAGAGAAGTGGCTGACTTTTAGCAAAGCAGTTTTGCTAGTTTTTATGTGACAGGGCAAAGTTTTGACCGTTCATCTGATGCTTTATCATAAAACATTTGTATCAGTCGGCAAAAATAGTTATCATTAGATCAGGTCAAATCAGGGAATATAATATAATAAGGTGAAATTAAAAACTTTGTTTCTTTTTTTATCAAGTTATTAACTGTCATGTTTTAGTATTTGTAAAACCAGCCTTTTGTATTCTGTTTGTAATAAACACTTTTTTTAATATGTTTGCCTAAGTCTTGGCATAACAGTGAAAATACCATGCCAGCAGTGGGCTGTAAAAGTTTTCTGTTCTTTTGTGGTGTTGACCTTTAAGCCCCCGCTGTGTCATCATCGTCATCATCAGTCTTGTCATGTTGTCTGGCCATCCTCAGACTGTCATTTCATGTGCTGGCAGGCTGAAACAGGCTGACACCAGCTGACCAGTGACTCACCATGTAAATGACTGTTTCTTTTCCAGGCTCTTCCCACATGACCCAGATTTACTGCTTCCCATTATTTAAAGTGTCACTATTATTAGTTGTCGGCTCCTTATTTTATTTTATTTTTTTAGATAGACAAAGTTTGTGAGTGTTACATGCCATTGGAAAGTTTAGTTTTATTTTACATTATAAGCATCCTCTTTTTCAGTCGTCACACTGTAGCAACGTGGAAGAATTTGTGTCAGAGCAAGTTTAATTTTTCTKTTTTTATTCCGCTACAACAAAAATCTTTTCTTTTTGAGTGTGAGACTAATTGTCAGATAAAACAGAATATCTACTAATCTCAGCCAACTTCAGTATATAGCATGGAATTCTGAAACCTAAAACAGCAACACTTGTTTACTGTATGAAAGCAGTTGGGTTACATTTATTTGTCATAATTGGTGTTCATTATTTACATGTTTTGGCAACCAATCAAGTAGCTTCAACGTGTTAGCACATGAGTTATTTTCTTTTAGTTAGAATGCAGTCATTTTTATTTTACTTCTGAGTAAACTTTGTTTGAAAAAAAAAATGCTGCCTCAGAAGCAACTGTCAGCTAAGACAAAAAAAAAAAGAACAATAAAGTTTGTTTTTTAAGTCCAATTTAGGTCTCACTATAGATTTGTTTTATTTGACTTAGACCTAGCGTTACCTTGGCWGATACGGTTACATGTGGACAGACAGCTTTCAGTACAACATTTTAAACCTGGCAGTGAAATGTGAAGCCATGCCAACTTTGGTTTCTTGATGCAAATAAACATTAGTCTGCATCACACAGTCAGTATCTGTTGAGCAACCAGGATATCAGAAAGTCAACTGATGTTTTTGAAAAATTATTATCATCAGTTACCTGGGGTCGGATTTATAAAACTGGCATACGCACAATTTGAGCCCAGAAACTTGCGTACGCCACTTTTTACGCCAAGGTTGTGATTTATAAAATCCAAACTTGACGTGAAAATGTGCGGTACCTCACACCAGCTCTGACCCATGCGTACGCTAATTTTGGAGACGGGAAACAGCGACACAGATAGTGAAGAATTATAGCCATGTTGTATAATGA